CACAGTATGGTGAGGGGCGTAACATTTCCGTCACACGCTTGAGGTATTCGGCGCGTTTCGACGCGTTTCAGAAAGGCGGGGCATAGAGGAGAAACTATAATGTACAGTATGTGGAAAATAATGTGTTTTTTGAACCTTAAACCGCATAAACACATTGCATTACACCAAATACACAAAATAATGTTCTTTTTTTAGCAACGTCATATGACCCCTTTAATTCGGATGAGTCAAAGCTTTCCAAATCTGCATGTTCTGCAAGAAGCACTAAATGGCACAAAGTTGCACTGCCCTAATGGGCTTGCTTCAGGTTTCCACTGTATACTCAGCTCTGTAATTACTGGTAGCTCCAGTGGCTTAATGTGATAAATGGACTCATCATGGAAGATGATTCAAATGTCTCAGTTGTGTGCTCTCCTCCCTCTTGCTTGCTTTGCTGATCGACTTACTATTTTTCTACAGGAAAAGACAAGTGTTTGTTTGCAGTGTAAGAACAATCTTACCTCTGAACACCAGCTGCCTTTAAGGAACCGTGGACAGTCTGACTGAACAGCTTCTGAACTGGGTCGAATGGCAGAAATCGATGGTCCTGTCGACTAAAGTTTGAACCACCAACCTCTTAATGGGTTAAAGCGGAAAAGTCTTGAGTTCTTGGTGATGTTTATATTGGCTCTCCAGTTGTAATGCAAGGTCATTTTCTCTGTGCTCTGTTTCTCATGTTTCTCTTTTCTGTTCACCTCATCAAGTGCTTTCTAAGCACACTTTACTTTAAATGTATATCTTTAAATGGACTACTTCTGTTCATGTTGGCTAAGAAGTCATTTTAACAAGCTCAAAAAATTCTGTCCAGGCTCTCCAGACGTCTACTTCAGACAATACTCCAGTGCTTTATTCTGCAAGACAAGCATGTCTTCCCCGATTCCTTGCTCGGACGAATGTACGTGCTAATTTAGAGCTGTCCGGCCCCCATCTCTTAGAACCGACTTTGTCCTTTAATTGCCATGGTAATTTTCATCGTGCTCTTGAGTAGATATGTTTGAATGGGTTTATGCTGGTGGAGCTCTAACATTTTTACCTTCTGGATAAAGGTCTTTCTTGCCTTAATTGAGAGCTTTTCATAAATTCTGCTTTGCTTTCTAATCCTCGCTGTGTTTGTGTCACTGTTAGTGTCTATTGCTGTGGCTTCCATCTTTTGCTCACCCCCCGCCTCCCTCACTCCAGTGCACATAGGATTTGAGCCTGCCATTTTGACCAATTATCATCGCTGACAGTGTGTCCGTCCCCCCGCGGAGCCGCCACTGTTTGCCGACTGGCTAACAGGACTAATGCCTTATTGCATTAGAGACAAATCAGTCCTCAGCACAGATTTGAATAAGCATCAGCCACCGCTCAAGTGCCATCGAACAATTGGAAATGGGTGTGTGTGGGTAGGAGGTGGACCGATTCGTATGCAGGCTTCACCGTAATGAGAAATTGCAAAAGCAGATAATGGAAATATTTAATACATTTCCCAGACAGATGCTAGGGGGTAAAGAAAACTAGTCTCAAGCAGGAGGAAATATTCAAACCCACTGTGTGCACTTAATGGTTCTTTGTTTACATTGTCATATCTGTCAGACATGCATGGCCTACAGCTGCTGGGTAAATGCCTCTGGGGTAATGTGCAAAGAATGTGTGGTGGTCTGAAGCCGGGGGATTGTGGCTTGGCAGCTCTTTCCTCTTAACACACATTGTGCATGCTGAAAACAGGAAGCATGGCTTTGCGAATGCAAATGAAACGCTCACACCACTGACTGTCTGTCTTCCTGCATGGCTAATTTGCTAGGTTCACACCTAACCAGTACACACTTTCCAGGGAGTCAGGGTTTTGAGTGCACAGGGAGGAGTTGTGACTGTTTCTGGCTCACGTCCTGGAGAACCATGGCCGCTGGCCACCTCCTTCAGCGTGAAAAGCTGGTAATAACTAAGCCTCCTAAAGGTCTCTCTCATTGTGCTGTGATGAAAATGAATTGAATCCATCCATGTGGAATCTGGCTTGAGTAATCCGTAGCCCTCCAGGACTGAGTTGGACACCTCCACCTTGGCTGTCACTGAAGTAACATTCCATTGCATGTTTTCCAACATCAACATAAGCAGATGCACCTAACACAATGTAGGGAAACCATGGGGATTTCTTGGGATTAGTGATGGAATACAAGTGCCAGGAGTCTATTCTTTTGTTTTCCTAAAGAGATTGATGAGCCTGTATTTCCAGTGCAGCTAAACTGGATTTTAGCTTATTGAAGTGCCTAGCTGTTGGCTCAGTAGAAGCAAACTAAAGCTTTTGGAGTCAGAGAAACCGTTCAGTGACTTTTTCTTTACATTTGAAAGTCATTCAAACTTGTTTGGAAGTTGGTGCATCCAAGAGCACTCGCACACAGACTGCATATTATTATGTATGACTACAAAGAGAATACTAAAATTCACAGATGTTTTTACCTGTTTTGTAATGTCAAAAATAAAATAAAAAATAATTCATGAAGTGGCTCTAATGTGTCTCTTTCAAAGCTTGTCTTCATGTCTCTTGATAGCTTCTCATCAGGGTTTCAGACTGTGACTACAATGGACTTAAATGTAAAGATGTTCGACAGTACATTAAGTCAGTATATAAAAAAAAAAGTAAAATTTTTGTCTTGAAAATTTTGCACTTTGTTTAAAGCAAGTGTCTTCAACCTTAATCAAACACACCTGAACCAGCGAATCAGAGTCTTAAGGATCACTTGAAAATCTCAGGCAGGATGGAAATGGACTTGGCAGGAAGGTGGGGCTGAATCCAAAACCCCCACCATTCAAATTTTCCAGATTACTCTGCTAATATAGTCCCTTGAATGACAACGACTGAGCAAACTGACACTTTGTGTGGCAGAAGTGCTGCAGATGCCACTCCCCTTGTCCAAATACCCACACTTGCGGTCTTGGCCACTTGAGAGCGCGTGCCCGAGACAGGAAGTAAGTGCGCAAGACTGTTAAAAACGCCAGAGCGCAGTGCCCTTAACGCACAATAAATCCACACTATCTCGAATACTGCTCTGGAGTGCTATTCGAGGCTTAGTGTATCCCTTCATGTTCTGGAAATAAATCGTGAGACTTTTTGCCGAGATCTCACGAGAGGTCACGGAAACCTTTCCAATGCAAGTTAAATATTAATATAATAATTAGATATTACATATTTAGTAGAAAAACTGTGTTTTTACGTTTTATTGGTGCAAAGATGAGTAGTGGTGATATTTGTTTTGTACAACATTTGCAACTGCTTTTTATCACTTAATTAGAAGCACCACAAATTAAAATTGTCATGTTATAGGGACTACTGAACAGACATTTAGAAGTTGATTTTAAAATGCAAAGTATTTAAAATTAAAATAAAGCTATGTAAACACTTGCGTTTTTACAACACTACAAGTGTGTCCCATCAGCTAATGGAAAGTTCGACACACACTTGTGGTCTTCATCCTCATTTGAACACTTGGGCCAAATACAGGAAATACGTCATATAAGTAGTCAAGTGGTCAAGTGCAAAGACTGCAAGTGTGGGTATTTGTACAAGGCAAAAGTCTGGTGATATGACCAGAGTTCAAGGGTGTCCTCTATCAGCTAGCGATAAAATGAGGTGCATTGTGGGACTGAATGAGTGCACTTGATAATGTCCACAATGATTTGTTCACCACTACAAAGGACTGTGCCTTTAAAGAGTTCTCTAAATAAGGTTATGGTGGCTATTTCGGGAACAGCCTGGGTCTCCAGGAGCAGGGTTGAAGACTTCAGATTTAAAGGAACATTTATGGTTAAATATAGTTTGTTATATGGTTAAGCTCTATGAATAGCATCTGTTGCATGTCGATTACCACAGAAATACATACTGATTTATACCTCAGATTGTAAAATCAGCAGAAATGCATTTGCAGTGGATGGCCATGAGGCAGCTGTTGTACGGATTCCCCATAGACTTCCATTGTAAGTGCAAGGAACATTCAGAAAATCTGTGTAATAACTACTTGTCTTGCTGGTTGCTGTGCTGAGCATGTTTTGAAACTTATGAGGATGAATAAGACGTGCATCATGCGGCCCTCATGAATAATTTATGGAACCCATTTAGTCTTGAATACTTTTAATGCACAACAAGGATGTGCTTTCATGAGCCGGGCACTTAGAAAACTATGTTTAGATCAAACCTTGATATAAGCAGGGTCTTTTGAGCGATTGTGGTGCTTTTAATGGAATGTGTGTTTAATGCGAAAGTGCTCAGGTATCTGGTGCAACAGGTGAGGATCAATGAGACATGCATGGTGCTACTCAGCTTGAAGGGAAGTGGGCGCCGGTCTGCCCTTTGGCTGTGCTCGACAAGCATTAAGTTGTAGAGAAAGTATCATGTTTTAAGGTGTCTACACAGCCAAATTCAGTATAAAGATGCATTGGTGCATAAAATCCAGACTAAATTATGCCTGCTCCAACCCACCTCAACCCCTAGTATCAAAGTATACAGAGCAGCATTAAACAGTCTGCATAAAGGCACCAAAATACCACTTCAGAAGTGCTTCTGTGCCACCTTTGCAGTGTAAATTTGTCGTTTTTGGTGATAAACTCATGGTGCTGCAGAAGAACCTTAGCTTTGAGTCTTCATGTATTTATAGATGAGTAATTGCTTCCATCCTTGTGTTTTCAGAACATAGTTTGGCAAAGTTAAATGACTAAAAAGGAAACTGTTCTCATTTTGACCTACAACCCACGTCGACGGTACAGATCCGCCCGCTCTCATCCTTCCTCTTCACTGGTCTGCTGCCAATATGTTCGCTCTGAGTGAGACTGAAATGGTAGCAAAGCCTCAGGGGCGTTTTCATGTGGAAAGTAGTTGCAATTGATGTAGTTTATGCTTTTTATCATTAGTGTTTCCAAGCGAATCCACCTCCTCAAGCTAACCCCGGAATCACCTTTTAAAGATAGTTTCTTGTTGGGAATGTAGCTTAAACCCAACGGTCTGTCACAGGTCACCGCTGTGGTCTTCGTTGACATGTCTGCGCACGCTGCTTCTCTTCTTTCCTGTTCACATGGAAACCCTGGGCCTCATTAGCTCACGCACTTGACTTCAGACCCCTGTCTGCGCTTCCACGGGAGCGAATACCTGGGAAGCAATTTAGGGCTCGATATAAATCAATTTTTATGTTAAATAGTTACCTTGAAAGGAGGTGTGGGGGTGGGGAAGTGTGCGCTTTACCAAGCTGTAGGCTTCCCACACGTCCCTTGTGCTTTAGTCACAACGCTGACCACCGCAGGCTCTCTGCCTTCCTCTCTCTCGCTCTCTACAGGTCTTAGTAATTCACCTCACTTGCTCATTCTCTCCTGCCAACCTGCAGTTTTCTTCCTCTTCCTCTCTCTGGTCTCATGTTTGACCCTCTGCGGTTGTTGTGCCTTGCCCTTTGGCTCAGCTCTAATTTTAGTAGGATTGAAGAAAGTCTAGCAGGGGAAGGGCGAGGGGTCTTTCTGCGAGGCTCAGACTTCCAACCTAATTACCCATCCTGTTACCTCAGTATCAGCTTCCCTGCAGCAAACCTAGCCGGCGGACACAGCGGTGACTCAGTCACCTCTCCATAGATCAGAGCTTTTCACTGAGAATAAGGGCCGGATTCCAGTGCAATTGCCATTTTGGTATTGGAGTGTCAATTGAAAACATAATTTGGGAAATAGGAGGTTTGATGGATATTTTATTGTATACCCATCACAAATTTAAAGGGAAACTAATAAAAAGGAATAAAGTGAACAGATGTATTTTAGATCCATTTAAGAGTACAGAGAACTATATGCATAACTGGCGTCACAATGACAGCAATTTGTAGTGACTGAAAATACATTCAAATAAGAGTTGCCAATTTGAGGCAATGTGCAATAGTGACTGTGGTTGATACAGCAAAGTTACATACCTGTAGCTCATACAGCACAGAATGATGCCAACAAAACTAAGCTCAAGGGTTCGATTCTCAGGGAGTGCATGAAGCGATTAAATAAATATACCTTGTATACCTTGAATGCATTGTAAATCGCTTTGGATAAAAGCATCTGCCAAATGCAAAAATGTAACATTAGATTCGAACAGTTGATTGATCAAGCAATGGTCAATATATCAGTATGTCACTAAACCTTATATTATATTATACTCAATTTTTCATCGGGGAGACTATTGATCTAACTAGAGTCTTATTTTCCCTCTTGCCTAAGGAGTACCAGGATACTGCAATAAGCTTCTGAATACAGAATTTATCATTCCCCTTAATCAAGATGAGCAGTACTAGTGGTTAAACGGTTTATGTCTGCGGGCTTTGAGTTCAAAACTGATAAGAGAGCTGCTAATTTGAGTCATTTGCATTTATTCAGTAGGTAGCTGCATCTGAGTTTCATTTTATTCTAGAATCATCCACAGTGTGCTTTTTAATGGTGCTTTCTAAGACAAGCATTACTATTGCTCATTCTTAAGAGTTTGGGGTTTGAACCAATAAGTATTGCAATGAAGTATTAAACTTTGGTCTGTAACTGTGAGACGTGGTTGATGGACACTTTACAATACCACGAGTTAGGTAAGATTACAAAGCCAATATGCCAGATGTAGTATCCAGATGTTATGTAATTCATAATGCTACTGTACTTACTCAGCATGCAATTTTGGACACACCTAAGGACTCGAATTGATGAATCACATTAGACAAGTAGAGCATAGTGCTAGAAATGCTAAGGTCCTGGGTTCGATATCCAGGGAATAAATGAAATGCTAAAAATGTATGCCTTGAATGCAGTGTAAGTCGCTTGGGATAAAAGCGTCTGCCAAATACATCATGTTAAAAAAAAGTGAATCTGTTCATTTACATAAACCATCTGAAAGAACCGATTAACTAGAATGAATTTGGCTTTTCAATGCTTCATATAAGAGAGTTTAAGAATGGACCATTGAGGTAAGTGCATTTGATTATTCCCTCAGATGCTCAAAAACATTATTAGCATTAGCATTTGATTGTGCTACTGGATAAAGTAGTGAAA